TGCTGAATTTTTCATGAACAACTTCTCCCCATTCTCAACAGCTTCGAACATATCAAACATCTCTTTATCAGAGCACACATGCTTTGTAGCACCGGTGTCAATCCACCACTCTTTAGGGTTTGAACCCACCATGTTTACTTCAGAAATGACTGCTGTGAGATTCAGCTCCGACACATCTTGTGCCATGTAGTCAACCACGTTCGCTTCTTTCTTCTTCTTCGGTAATCTGCACTCCGAAGACTTGTGACCCACTTTGTCACAATTGAAGCATTTTCCTTGGAATTTCTTCTTGACAATTCCACCTTTCGGTCCTTGCTTGGTTCTTTTGCCACCGAATGGCCCAGACTTGTTTTTGTAGTTCTTGCTACTTTGACCAAGCTCCACAACATTGGCTTTGGCCACATCAGGATTGAACCACTTCTTCTCGGAACTCTTGTTGTCTTCTTCGATTCGAAGTCTAACAACGAGTTCTTCGACGTTCATTTCCTTTCGTTTGTGTTTCAAATAGTTCTTGAAATCTTTACACGCGGGGGGCAATTTTTCTATAATTGTAGCCACTTGAAAAGTTTCACTCAACATCATTCCTTCGCCATGAGTTTCGTGAAGGATCACTTGGAGTTCTTGCACTTCACTAATAACAGTTTTGGAGTCCACCATCTTACAGTCTAGGAATTTGCCAACTATAAACTTTTTAGCCTTGGCATCCTCAGTTTTGTATTTTCGGTCCAAGGACTCCCACAATTCCATAGAGTTTTCATGGTGCTATACACATTGTACAGCACATCTGCTAGGCTGTTCATGATATAATTTCGGCACAGAAAGTCCGAATGCTTCCAAGCATCAAGTGCACTCAATGCTTGCACATCTCCCTTGCCCTCATTAAGTTTCGGAACAGTTTCAGTCAAGAATCTAGCAAGATTCAAGGTGGTCAAGTAAAAAAGCATTTTCTGCTGCCACCCTTTGAAATTTAAGCAATTGAATTTCTCCGATTTTTCTTCATGATTAACCGGAACAGTTACAGTTTGGCTCACAACATAACTTGGCATTCTAGCCACAACGGAGCTTGGCCTTTGAGCCACATTAGAACCCACAGCCTGATTTCCAGCAGGAGCAGTTTAGGTCACATCCATGTTGGTTGGTTTGGTAGCCATTTCTGAAAATGAAACAAAAATTAGTTTCTAATAAACAACTTGTTTATCTCAATAAAATAAAATAAACAATTTATTTACTACCAATGTGTATAAAATATGTTTTAAGTTTGTTGGAAATTATGTCGGTGGAATGATATCGAATTTATGGGTACCGTATATGCATTTTAGATACTGTATATGCAGCATACCACATATGCAATTTAGATACCGTATATGCATAGATTATATACCGGATTTGCACAAACTTGATTTTACGCATACAATAAGATTAAATACCAGGTTTTCTCATACCGATTTATAATATTAGTTAATTACACAATAAACTAAATTATCATAAACCACAATATATTAATCTAATTTAAAACTAAATTATATTAAGTTATGTAAGACACGTTCATTTAATAAATCTAAACAGGAAAGCTGAAAATTAACAGAAATTTAAAAAAAAATTAACGACATGTTTATATAATTTCATATAAACTTTTAACCCAAGGCCTATGTAAACACAGTATCCTTAAAACAGATTCGCCATCTCACCGTACATGCTTGAGTTTTAATTCGAGTGTCTGTTTTCCAGGATACAACGGTATATAGTAGAATCTGAGCACGGCAGATACTACTCTGACGAACTGATCTAGTATCTGAACAATAACACCACAAGACCAAGACCTTACTGGACAAGGAATGCAAAGAAGAAACTGCGTATGTAGGAATGTAGGTGAGATTTTCGAGTGTGTTAGATTGTTGGAGAATGAGCCTTTTTATAGGCATACTGCCCATTAATATTGTGACCATTGGGAGTCCATTGGAGTTACTTCCCATTAACACTATGACCATTGGGAGTCCATTGGAGTTTTTGTAGTTTAGAAACTCAAAAGTCATTGGAGAAAGCCAAAAAAAAATTGGCAAAACGTGGGCTCTCCGATGGGGCCATTTTTGCCTTATTCGGTCCGACATTCGTGGGCGCAGGTCGCGCCCGCACCCAAGTTCAAGGTCCGAAAGCCATTTCAGTTCGTGATTTGAACCCCCCTACGCGCACACGTGGAGAGAGCCTCTATGCTACACATGATTACACATCTTCAAAGTATAGCCATATATAAAGTGGTTTAAGTTTCCTTCGTTTTCCTATGTGAGATAAATGCATTTTTTTCCCACAAAACCAACTTCCAATGACCAACTTTGAGCTTCAATTTCTCATTCACCTGGGCTTCATTTTGGCAAATAAATGCATGAAATCGATGTTCTCACGGAGGAGAACACATATCAACTTTGATATGCCACATTGGACCAACGGGTCCCATCGAAAATTGTGCCAAAAGTGAGCGCTTACTCAATTTTTTCCAACAGTGATCACAATATCAACCACGTAAACCAATAGTGCCGCAAAACTATTTCCAGTTCGTTTAGTAAAAATGGAATAATCTGCCATAGATTGTTGAAAGCCACATTGAATCAAAACATGAGTAAACTTTGAATTCTAATATCTTGAAGCTTGCTTGAGTCCTTATATTGACTTGTGCAGTTTGCAAGCCAATTTCTCCCCCTGTGTTGATGGTCTAAGGAACTCATAGCCCAGAGGAATTTCCATATAAACTTCCTCAAATAAGTCTTCGTTCAATAAAGTATTGTTAACATCCAGCTAAAGTAAGTGCCATTGATAATGACCTGCAAGAGTTAGTAAAATTTTGACAGTGACATTCTTGGCCACTGGTGAGAAAGTATCGAAGTAATCTAACCCTCCTTATTGTATGTAACCCTTTGCAACAAGACGTGCTTTATGTCTTTCAAGTGTTCCATCTGAGTTGTATTTATTTTTGTAAATCCATATGCATCCTACTGAGTGTTTCTCGGGCGGTAAAGGCACAACCTTCCAGGTATGATTGAGCTCCATGGCTTCCAATTCTAGCTTCATGGCATCACGCCAATAAGGAAATCTAAGAGGTTGATGGAAAAATTGAGGCTCAAAATGAGATGAAATGTTTAGTACTAGATTTTTGAATGGTTTTGACAGATGATTATAGACACGAATTTACTAATATGATTTGGGGATTGAGGAATGTGATGGCTATGTTGAGAAATGAGATTACAGTGGTAATCAAAGAGATATTTGGGAGGTTTCGAGATTCTTTTGGATTGAAGAATGGCATGATTTATATGTCTATCAGATTGTGTTTGATCAGTTGAGTTAGAGTTGGATGGAGGTGGGACATGGATTGTGTCAGATGGGTCATTAACATGAAGATTGGAATCATGATGATCATGGTCAGATTGGACATGGTCATCATGAGGAGAAACCAATGAAGCAGATGGTAAAACTAGATCAGGAAACGGATCTAGTAATTGATCATCTTTGACAATAGTATGGGAGGGAAAATTTTCCTCATGAAAAATTACATCTCTGGATATAAAAATTCGTTTGGTTTCAACATCAAAAATTCGTTTGGTTTCAACATCAAAAAGTTTATAGCCTTTGATTCCTGATGGATATCCAAAGAACACACACAACTTTGCTCTAGGTTGGAACTTGTCTCTATGTGTGGTGAGTGTAGATGCAAATCCTAAGCACCCAAACACACGAAGAGTGGAATAATCAGCAGGAACACCATAAAGGATTTCATAAGGTGTTTTATGTTTTAGGATGGGGGATGGGGTTCTATTTATGAGATACCTGGCAGTCATCACACATTCGGTCCAGAAATGTATGGGAATTCTGGTTTGGAAAAACAAAGTTCTAGCCATATTCAATAGGTGTTGGTGCTTGCGTTCAACAATGAAATTTTGTTGTGGTCTTTCAACACAACTGAATTGATGTAATACCCCCTTTTCAACAAAATAATCTTTGAAAGACAGTTCAGGTGCATTGTTTGATCTGAAAGTGTTAATAGTAGCATTAAACCGGGTAGTGACCATAATAAAGAAATGAGGAATTACAGTCACCGCATCAAATTTTTGACGTAACAAATATATACAAGTGAATCTGGAGCAATCATCAACCAATGTTAAGAAGTATTTGTGTCCTGAATGTGAAGGAATGTGATATGGTCCCCAAATATCACAGTGCAACAGATCAAATAGTCTAATGGACATTCTGTTCGTGGACTCGAATGACAACCTCCTTTGTTTAACAATAGGACAAACATAACAAGGAAGATGTTTATTCAATTGTGAAACATTATACCCTACTTGATCTTTCAAGGCATCTAATCTTTTGAAAGATAGATGTCCTAGTCTATTATGCCAAATGTGAGCTTAGACATGAAAAACAAATACATTCAAATATGAATGAAAATTTCTGATATCAAGTACATATAAACCTTGAACTTTGTCACCCTTGCCAATCATCATCTTGGTGGTATTCTCCTGAATTTTGAAATGATCACGGAAGAAACTCGTATTAGTTTGTGATCCAAGAGTTAATGAGCTGACTGACAACAAATTGAATTTGAATTGGGGCACAAATAAAACATCATGAAGCACCAGATTAGGACTCAGTTTAACATCACCACATAAGCTGACTGATATCTGTGTGTGATTTGGTAATATGACGTTTGTATTTTCAGCAGATCTCAAGTTTATAAACGCATTAGCAGTGCAACAAACATGTCTAGTTGTCCCTGAGTCTACTATCCATATTTCTTTAGTAGTAAATGTCAAGGTAACTAATATGGAATGACAAATACTTGTGGTTTCTACTGTAGTTGGTTTGTCCTGGTCATTTGTAGCCATGCTCGAGCTTGATTCCAAATGGTTGGACAACATAGTCATCAGTTGTTGGTATTGACTAGAGTTCAGATTCTGCATGAAATCCTCCATATTAGGTGGTTGATTCTCTTGATGAACAGCTAACAACTAATTCATAGAGCTATGGGCAGAATAGCCTTGTGAGTTCTCCTTTGATTTCTTCTTGTATTCTGGTGGATATCCGTGGATTTTATAGCACTCGTCAATTGAATGTCCATGATATTTGCAATAAGTACAATAAGGTCTTGACTTTTTTATTGCAATTCCATTATTTCCCACTCTAGAAACATCATTTCGAAAACCAGAGTTAAGCACTGGCTTCGTATTTTCAGATCTCACACTAAAGGTAGATGTGTCCATTCCGAGCGATTGTGTACTCAACTTCTCTGATTTTCTACTTGTGCAATTAGTACAAACACCTTATTAATAGGTGGCATTGGATCCATTTGATGATATTTATTCATCTTCTTAGCTCCACCGCATGTACACTTTCCACAATCACAATTGGGTCAAAAATTGCTTAATTCTTCCCATATAGTCTTCAATTTTGTGAAATACACGCTTACTTTGCTTTGTCCTTGATTTAAATTCATCTGATCTTTCCTGACTTGAAAGATCCTTGGTCCATTGCTTTGCAGAAATCGTTCTTTAAGGTCGTTCCAGATCTCATACGCGGTGGCAGCATAGATAACGCTTGCTGAGATTTCTTTTGAGACCGAATTAAGTATCCATGAGATCACCATATCATTATTTCGATTCCATGAATTGATCGATTCAAAACTTGCATCTTCCGATTTTCTCATCGATCCATCAATGAAAGAGAGTTTATTCTTTATCGAAAGAGCAATCATCATTGCACAGCTCCAAAAGGCGTAGTTATCTCTTGTGAGCAGTTGAGAAACAAGTACTAATCCAGGACTATTGGAATGATGCAGAAAATAAGGACTTGATAGCTCATCAATGGCAGATTTGTTCAGAGATGAGTGTGAATCAGCAACACTTTCAAACTGCATAGGATCCATATCTTCAAAAAGAAAGAAGAAGGAAAGAAATCGGATTAACACTAGAAGGCAATGGCTCTCATACCATATTAGAACAAATGAAATGGAAATTTTCAATTATCATTCATTCTGAACATTCTGAAATTGTCTACAAATGATCATCTTAACAAGGTGTAGACATAAAAAAAAATAATAAAATAAAATGGATTGGGCCAATTTAAATCATTAGCCCAATTAAATTTAAATCTACTAAAGTCCAAAAAACCCAAAGGCCCATACCAAATTTTAAATAAATAAACAAACAAAATAAATAAAATTATAATTGCTCAATTATCCCTTTTAATTAAATATAATTGAGTAATTACCAAAATTAGCCCGAATCCTCCCCTATAAATAAGACCAATGGTCCATAAGACGGGACACACAGAAAGCAAGAAAGAAAGAAAGCAGAGAACGCCACGAAGTGCTGAAGAAATCTCGAGGCTAAAAGAAGGGAAGAAATTCTGTCAAGCCTTAACTCGGTGAATCCCAAGAAGATTAAAATCTTCTTCGAATCAAACAAGTTCACGGCAAATCCAAGAATATCAAAGTCTTCTTCAAATTAAATCAAATTCAAGTCCAAGTCCAAGTCCAAGTCTCAAGATTCAAGTTCCAAATAAGTCAAATCTCGACAAATCAAATTTTCAACAAATTATTGAAGATCAAGATTTAAGCCACGTGACCCCTCGTCTTCAAATATTCAGATCATTAATCAGAGGATTTTGCAATTACGAGAAGGTCAACATCACTTGTATTTATCAAAATACAATTTGTAACGATTTCTGTATTTTAATACACGAGATTTCGTCGTACAAATTTCTTGGCACGCCCGGTGGGACCTTCCTGTCCTCTCATCTTTTGATCTCAAAATCTTCAAGTTTCAAATACTACATCAGCAATGGCAGGCGAAAAGGCGAAACAAATTATGACTCATCTCGAAGAAACACTTGCTGAACTCTTCCACGCGACCAGGGCCCAAACAAAAACTGGGAAAACTCAACTGGTCACACTACTAAAGAAATTCTCCAACAAAAACAAAATGAAAATTACCTTCAAAAAGCCAAACTCTCATTCGACACAAAAAACCATGAGTTCAACAAAAAACTCTCGTTCAGGATCCATCTCCAGTGGTAGATCCTTATCTAGATCCCCTCATGCTACTTCTCAGCAAAAGTGGGAATATGATACTTCATCTGAAGAATCACTTGAGCCAGTGATGGTCACAGAAGCGGCATCAGGCTCAGATGATCGAATCCAACAAATGGCTTTAGCTATTGAAAAATTAACAAACTCATTAGCAGAAAAAGATGCCCAAATTGCCGCACTCATGCATAAACTCGAGTCGCAAAATCCACCGGTTGAAGAAGAATAGAAAAATTTAGGATCTTCCAAGGTCAAAGAGTTAGAAGTCCAAGAGTATCAAGAAAAGCAAGATATACTTGATCGAACAATTGTTCAAAATGTGTTGCGTGATGCCACTCAACTCTCCGTCGGCTCTCCATCCGTCCAACAACTTCAACATATGATTGCCGACACCATTCGTGCCCAATATGGTGGTTTGTTGCAATCTTCATTGGTGTATGCCAAACCCTATAGTCGTCGAATCGACGAAATAAAGATGCCACTTGGTTACCAATCTCCGAAGTTTCAATATTTTGACGGAAAGGGCAACGTAAAGCAACATGTTGCTCATTTTATTGAGACGTGTAACAATACAGGTACTTACAATGACACAATGGTGAAGCAGTTCGTACGCTCCCTCAAAGGTTCTGCATTTGAATGGTACACAAACTTACCGGCAAGGTCAATTGATAGTTGGGATCAACTCGAGCGAGAGTTCTTAACACACTTCTACACCACCCGACGAATTGTCAGCCTTCCAGAACTTGTTCGAACAAAGCAGAGCAAGGAAGAGCCTGTAGTAGAGTACATTGAACGCTGGAGAAACCTTGTGCTTAATTATAAAGAACGAATAAGTAAAGCATCTTCCATCGACATGTGTGTACAAGGCATGCATTGGGGATTACTCTATAATCTCCAAGCAAACATGCCTCACTCATTCGAAGAATTGGCAACACATACTCATGACCTGGAGCTCCAAATTGCAAGGCATGGGAGTTATTTATCAAGCGATCCACGTAACAAGAAAGACCCTAAGAAGGATATAAAGAAGGACATCAAGACAAGTAAATCCAAAGAGGCTATGGCGATTTCTACTGTTCTTGCAAAGATAGCCTTCCAAGGGTCGAGCTTGAACTCAAAATCAAAGCTAGAGTTCAAACCTACAAAGGACAAGTCCAAAGAAGAAGTCATGCGACTCTAAAGGAACTTGAAGAAAGGGAGTACCCATTCTCAGATTTAGAAGTTTCTAGAATTTTGGATCAGCTCCTTGAACAGAAAATAATCGAACTTCTAGTACCAAAAAGACCTGAAGAGGCTGGTAAGATCGATCATCCTAAATACTGTAAATTTCACAGGATCATTAGCCATCCAGTGGAAAAATGCTTTGTTTTGAAAGACCTTATTGTTCGCTTGGACAAAGAAAATAAGATCAAACTTGAGACCGAAGAGAATCCAACAGCCGCATGCTCGATGGTTTCATTTGAATCATTTGATCCAATTCCCATTCCAAGAAAAAAACAAACATTCTCTGATGTACACCATGCCTGTAAATCCTCAGTTAAGGAATGTGGACCTCAACTCCCGGAAGGAGCCATCCCAGTGAAATTTGAGGTAGACGGAGAAATCACCATCAGTTATATTTATCCAGGGATGAATGGACCAAGCGCACCCAATCATCCAACCTTTTATGAAATTATGACAGGTGAATTGGATGTTTAGGATTTCGACTCAGAATTAGAAGACGAGATCGGTGACGGCTGGTCTACCTTCATAAAGAAGAAAGAGAAATACAGAATGCCAAACAAAATAGGTAAAATATTACCTTCTACGCCTCTTGCAGGAACAAAGCTGGAGGAATTGGGTACGAAAATTCAACCCAATGAAGAAGAAACACTAGAAGAAGATCAGGGGGCATGGACCCTAGTGAAAAGACGTTGTCGGAAGGCTCCACGACTCCCAGTTTCTAACTTTTGTGACAAGAAATCAAGACTAAGGAACAATCAAAGAAGGAGGCCTGAAGCCAAGCCAAGAGTATCTACTAAATCAACCTAAGAGGGAGCAGCTCCACGCATTCTTCCTAGACTATCGACCTTGGGTGATTACTTTCCTAAGGGTTTCTTTGATAAAGAATGTCTAACCTCCAACGTAATCAATGTGGAGGAGAAAGATGAAATGAAGAATGTATCAAGTCAGACTTCAAAACAGAAGAAAACTATTTCACGACTCAATAATATTCTTGCCAATACAAGTCTAGCTGAGTCTCTTGCCCTTCCCTTCGATGATGGGATGGCCTTGGTAGTAGTATTAATCGATCCGAAAGAATACGAAGGCAAAGCTTTAGAACATATTGGAGCCACAACTCCTCAAGACTTTATGGCCGCAATAACATTCGACGATGGAGATTTACAGCTGGGTTCACGTCCACATAATAGACCACTGTATATCAACAGTTATATTCGAGAGTGCAAGATAAATCGTATAATGATTGATTATGGATCTGCTGTAAATATTATGCCAATCAAATTAATGAAGAAAATTGGAATCAATGTTGGTAATCTATCCAGAAGCAAAATCATGATTCAAGGATTCAATCAAAAAGGTCATCGAGCCATTGGCATGATTCGCCTAAAGCTGCAAATAGGAGAGTTAATCTCCTCGACTCTTTTCCATGTCATTGATGCTAAAACATCCTACGAGTTACTCCTTGGACGTGTTTGGCTACACGAAACTAGAGTGGTACCTTTGACTTGGGCACCAATGCTTCAAATATAGCCGAGATGGAGAAGTCAAATGTGTGGTAGCTAAGTCGAAACCTTTTCTCAAAGAAGAATCTCATTTTGCCGATGCCAAGTTTTACATGGAAGGTGAAGAATGTAATTCTTCAGGGTTGACCATATTTGGATTCAAAATCAAAGAAGATACAAACGATCAGGATACGTCTAGTGCTGCTCAATCTCATCAACTTATCAAACATAAGTTAAGATTTACTAAAGGCAAAAAACCTCAAGTAGAATCAACCGATATTGAGGTATTGAGAAAAGAGTTAACTCTTCCAATACCTAGTATCCCAAAATTGCTTCTGTCCCCACCAACTTATGGCGGGCCCAAAAGAATATAAATCTATATCAGAGGCTTCAACATCTCTTCTCGATATATTAAAACTTTATATTTCCAGCTCGTCCAAACAAGAAGGAGTTGCTGAATCAAAACAAACTTTCAAAGGATGTTACAATCCTCAAGTTAAAAAGTTGTTCGAAAATGCTGGGTTTGGAAAAGGAGAGCCTCATAAATTAGGTGATCTTGATGCTGTCCTTTCAGGAGGGTGTCCCCCTTCTAATTCTGACAGAGCCTTGGTGTCCCGACCCAGGTATGGTTTGGGATATGATCCCAATCCATCGAGAAAGATTAAGGTCAAGAAGGTTTCCTCAAACCCCATCATGATTCAAATTTATGAAGTTGCAGAAGAGAAATCTGAACAGTTGAAACCTTCAGCATTCGATCGAATTGAAAATGAGAATGCCAAAGTTTCGGTGTTTAAAAGGTTAAAAGGAGAACCCTCCCCAATGGTCGATGTAAAAGGTAAAGTTTCTGTCTTCCAAAGATTAAGCGAAGATTCTTCTTCTTCTACCAAAATTGATCGGAATACACAAGCTCCCCAAATGTCATCCCAAAGACAATCTGTATTTTCTTGACTTGGGATTAAAACTTCTGATCTACGCCTAAAGCCACAACGGTCAAGAAGAAGATGAAGACAGCAAAAAGTTCGTCCGTCCCTAAAGGAGAGTGAAAAAAAGGAAGAAGTCTCTGTCAATCAGATAGCCTTTGAAGAAGCTCCAGATTCAGACTCTGAGTTCGAAAGT